TAAAATGCCCAGATTTTTTTTTCTTCTTTCTTTTTCGCTAATCAAAAATATATTCGTCTACGTTTTTATTCAATAATATAATCCCCCATACCCCACCGATATCTAAATTAATTTACCTTCATTCTATATATATCATTCTCATTATTTATTTAGATTTTTTTTAATAGACGAACCAAAATTTCGTCGCGTAACCAATGAAAATATTAGCTGCCTCTTATTCCCCCCAACTCCCCGGCCCCCAAAAATTAGGCCCCTACCCCCAGCCCAAATATATATATATACCCATTAAAATATTAAAATAATAAGAAAATATAAAATAATATGACATATTATATTATCTGAAAAAAAAAAAAAAAAAAAAAAACCGAAAAAGTAAACAAAATTGACGTAAATTATTCCATTGTTGTTCTTTGGCTGTTACTACCCCCGCACGATGGATAAATGCAGAGCCTGCAACAAAGGATGGACGATTGGAAGCAACGTGTCAGGATCCTGATGAATCAAATACTAACCGTGGATCAGTACTATGTTGCCAACGACGAGTATAGATTCACCGGGCAGGCCTCCTATGCTGATATAGCTGCTGGTCGTACAAGTCCAAGTTCAAGAGGGTGTAGTCCGTACAGAAATCAACGTGATGAACCTCCTCCTTCCTGTTCCCTACCAATTCAGGTATTACCGTATAATGTAACAACAACAACAACAGTAGTAACAACAACAACAACAACAACGATACCGCAACATTCTGAACAGAAGAAATCAATTGAGGTAGAAAATGTTGACGATGATAATAATGACAATGATAATATTCAATCTAAACATGTACAACAACAGATTCAAATGCAAAACGATGAAAAAATTAATAAGGATAACGATCAAATGATTATTCGTTCGATTCAACATAAAGAACAGACACCTATGATGATGAAAGAAGAAACTATTGTAACAGATAATACAATGAATAATCTTCCAGTAATAAATGTAGTCGAATCTGTACCACGTCGGGGACGTTCACCGGTAAGAAAATCAATTAGATCTAATTTACATACTAACGTTAAGAAATATGATAATACACGTTCGCCAGTATCATCATCAACTGGAACGGATAATAAACAAGTGTTGATATCTGAAAAAAATAGTTTAATACCGAGCGATGATAAAAGGGGTAGATCTACTAGTCCCATTTGGGTACCTGGTTCTACTTCTTATGCTGATATTCTTCGAGGTGGTACTCATGCGACATCTAAATCTTCCGATTCGACGGATAACGATACTAATCAATCGATTAAAGAAACTCATAGTACACATTCTAACGTGATTGATGATAATCATTCGATTAATCCTACAATATCAGAAACCCATACCGAGGATATTCATACGATCGAATCGGAATCGGTTAAAACAATTGAAAGTTCGATATCAATTGGCGGGAAATCATCCTACGAACAAACTCCTCACGAACAACAAACGATTATAGAAAAGGATAAGAATGGTCAACAACATTTTACACAAGAGACTGATAATACTTGGTCAAATGAATCTTTAGAACACTCCAACGTAATCGAGGATAAACATTACGACAATATTAATCAATCGTCAACTACTGAACCTTACAAATACATACACCCACAAACGATGGCTGAATTAGTGGGATTCATTGGTTCCCAACTTGGTGCTTATCCCGTAGGCTCGTACGTTTATGCACCTGTTGAAATTCATCAACAAATGCAACTGGATGCAATTGCTCAGCAACATTACGGTGGTCAGATGACTGGTTATACAACCAATCATTATGTTAATCAAAATAATTACTTACCAACGACCACGACGACGACAACTGGTATATGTCACGAATCTCATTTACAACAACAACAGCAACAGCAGCAACATGAGTGTTCTATCAGTGAATCGGATAATACTAAAGAAGACAAAATGACCGGTTCTCAATCTTCATCGGTCATTGAAGCTTCTAACGTTGAATTACCTTCGTATCATTCAGTATCTAATATTACTGAACAAAGTGATTCTAATAATGAAATAAATGTTTCTTTAAATCCAATGAACATGGACGATAATATTAATCCAAATAATATTGAAAAGAAAAATACCAACAGTGTGTCTAATAATACGGAAAACAAAAATCAAGTATTCTCGTACGCTCAGATTCTTTCTCAAGGTCTTAATTCGCGAAGTGAATCAACGAACACGGATAAATCAATGAGTGAACAAATTAGAGGCCGTTCGGGATCACCGAAAATCGTATCAACGCTTCAACATGATTTACCAATTATTCAATCAACTATAACAAATCCTCAGGAAGATGAAAATATTGAAAAGATTCAATCGAAACAATCTAAAGGAAATGATTGGGATACTATGAAGAAAAAAGATACAAAGAAGAAACATCAATCTCGGCCTATGGAAAAATCAAAATATAATCAAGACAAAAGATCTTCGATTTCAATGGAAAAAACGAAAGATCATTTCGAGAAAGAAGTTACACCATCTAAGGAAAGTGTTGTTGTTGTTAACAAATCCCAAAATGTATTGTCGTCCACTGTTGTTTCAGGACAAAAAACTAATCCACCTAAGAAAGATGACAAATTAGAAATGAAACAACAAAAGAAAAAGTCTGACAATGCTAGACAAAAGCAAGAACAAACGAAAGAAAAATTAAATCAACAACAGCAAATGGGTAAGAATGATCAACAAAAGGAAAAGTTAGATCAATTGAAAGATAAGCAGCAAGATTTGCAAAAGGATAAACAGAAGCAATCGAAAGAACAATTGCGTAAAGAAAAGGGAGACAAATCTAAAGAAAAGGAACAATCGCAAAAGGAAAAACAAGAACAATCGCAAAAAGAACAAACACCCGATCCTGTTGGAACACAGATAGAGAAAAAACGTAAGCAAAAGAAAAAGAAATTGGATAAAACGATCGATGATGAAATTGACAAAGCTTTGAAAGAAATAGAAGATATGGATAAGCAAAGGGCTAAAATACAAAAAGAAAAATACAAGGAACATACGGCGAAGAACAAAAAAGATATTCAAAGTAATTCGAAGAAAGTTGAACTTCCTTCGACGAGCAACGAAACTGGTACCTTCAAATCCGAATTGAAATTAACAGAACCCAATAGATTGAAAGAAATAAAATCTAGGAAAAAGAACAAAATGGATATTTCTAAACAAACCAAAGACAATTTATATAATCTCAAGACGAGTGATGTCAAACAAATCGATACAAAATCCGAACAATTATCATCTCAATTACGCAACATTGATATTTCTAAGGATAAGGATTCGAAAAATATTAGCAAAGTGGTCGAAGATGCTTGGAAAATAAACGAAAGTATCAGTAATACTATAGAAGCTTATACAGAAAAATTGAAAGCCATTAAGAAAAATCAGAAAATTAATATCAAGAGTATCGATGATGTTTGGGACAATGCTATGTTTAAGAGTGACGATATTATTTCTAAAAAATTAGACACGAAAGAAATGAAATTAGAAAATTATTCCAAATTAAACGAAGGTATTAATAATTCTAATAATATCGAAAGAAAGAAAGAAACTACTACCACCACCGTGTCAACATCTTCGAAAGTGAAACAAAAAGATAAATCTAAGAACAAAATGGTAACAGAAAAATTAACTTCATCTGACGTAATAGAATCAAAAGAACAACCTATAGAAAAACCTACAACACGATCCGTTATTTCGTCAAGCGAAATCATCGGTGCTACTTCTTCTTCTTTTTCTTCTTATTTTGATATCAATGAAGAACCTGAAATGAATACCAAAAAATCGTCTATTAATACTCAACAAGATAAAAAAGTTAAATCAACGAAAAAATTATCTAAAGTATCATCTAAAGTTAAAGAGACAATACCTTCGAAAAAACAAGTAATCGAAGATTTCTTCTCTTCGTCATCTTCTTTCTATGATAAATTTAAAGAAACTGAAGATAAGATTTTATCCGAGATAGAAGATAGTAATATCGAAGAACAAGATGATAAATTTTATATGGAACCACTTTGTAAGGATGATACAGGACCGAATGAATTGAGTATCGAAGAAATCCAAATATCCAAGATGATCGAAGATAATATTCATTCATTCTTAATAAAATCTAACGTTGAATTCCCTGAGGTTAAAGAAACCATTGTTGAAGAATTTGTTGATGAAAAAGGGGATCTAAAAAAGGAGGAGGTCGAACGTATTATTAATCCTGATCACGATTTAGAATCGTCAAATGTTAATAACGATAATAATATATGTGAAAATTTGAATGACGAATTGAAAGAAAAAGAAATTGTCGAAATTATTGACAACGATTTGAAATCTGACGTTACGAACAATTTGCAAGTAGGAAAAGCTTTAATTATCGAAAAAACAGAAACCACTGTAACTACCACCACCACCGTTAATACAGAAACAACGCAATCAAAACCATCCGACGTGAAATCCGTTAAAACTATCGAAATATTAGAAAATATTCCTTTAGTCAAAACAATAGGTACGAAAACTTCCGACGTGATATCGTTAAGACCCGAGACCGTAGAAGCAAGCTTAACAACAACATACGCTAGGGTTTCTGGTAGTTCTTTAATTAACGTTCCTGAAAATAATTTCTTGTCCTGTGAAGTTTCTCATGATATTTGTGATCAATCATCATCCCCCATTGTTCCCATTATTTCTGAAATTATTCAATCCGATGATCCACCGTTGTTCGGTAGTATCAAAGATAGGAAAAAATATCGTAACGAAATATCCCCCATGTCTAGTGATTTAACGAAGAATAAAACATTAGATGAAAATCAATTGGCTTCGTTCGGTGACGATTCGAGTATTTCTATGCAAACTGTCATTAATGTGGATTTGAAAAAAGATAATTCTTCTTATGAATCTTTGAACGATAATAATATTATTGACGAGGTACGTAACACAATCGATGAATTCGACGAAAAGAATATATCCGATGAAGATATGAAAATAGATAAGAACAAAAATGAATTTGTCAATTTAAAACTTCATGAGGAAGAACAAAACATTATCGGTGAATGTCAGTCTGTAATAAAAGAGGATGCTAAGGAAAAAGTAATAAAAGAAAAGGATGATGATAATAAACCTAAACAAGTATTTGATACAGGTTTCAATTTAGATCAACGAAGAACCAACGAACATTTGTTAGAATTGATCAAACCTTATTGGTTGAATTATCATTCTTATGTCAAAGCGGAAAATGAACTTTGCAGTAATTATAAAATTATGCGAGTATTAGATAAACCGTGTATAACTGATGTTAATATTCCTGTTAACAGTCAAGAAAATATCGTGAAAATAGTTCAAGAATCTGTTATGAAAAAGACCCCAGTTGAAAATATACGCGATAACGAAAAAACATCTGACAGAGAATCGAAAATAATTGCATTGCTCGCTGACGTTCCTAAATATCCAATTATCAGTTTATCCGAGTTCGAATCACAATGGATACAATCTCAACAAGCAACCATGAACAAATCTATTTCTTCTACGTCAACTATTGATTCTGTAGATACAATACTTCCAGTAAGTGTCACTACGAGTGAAATAGAAATCATTGAAAAAGATGAAGTTGATGAAACTTCATCAAAATTAAATGAAACAATCGACATACAAAAAAGTTCTATTGAAACAAATAATCAAGATATTGATACAAATGTAAATAAAATTGATCAATCTAAATCACAAATTCAAACAATTCATTTGAAAGCTGATGATTCATGGATGAGTATTTTAGATGAACCTATAATGATAAGTGATGATGATGATGATGGTTGGGAAGAAAATACAAATGAATTGAAACAGACTACGTCGACAATGATTAAATCTGAATTGGATTTAACAACTACTGATGTTATTAGTTTGAAACATGAAGAAAATATTTCCATTGGAAAATCGATTACAAATGATGATGAAGAAGGTAAGATAACATTGACTGAAACACAAACATCTATTTCAAATGAACCTAAGGAAATTAATATTTCTGTTAAATATGAAGATAAAGATCATTCTGATAAAGATAATATAAATGTATTACCTCAGAAAGAAATGCAAAGTGTTGCAGAACAAAAATCTGTACATTTAGAATCTTCTGAAGATTGGTTGGACTTTTTGGATGAAGAAATACCTCTTAATGAGGATGATTTGGAAGATCTAAATGTTGAAAGTGATGTAATTGTAAGTAAGGAAACAATTGAAGAACCTGTAGGACAAGATAAATTAGAAAACATAGAAATGTTAGAAGATTCTGTAAAAATAATAGAGGATAAAGTATTGGAAGATAACCTAATTCAAAAAGATAAATTGAAGAAAGAAAAGAAAATTGAAGAAATGAAATCAGCAGATGAATTAAAGAAAGAAAAGAAAATTGAAGAATCAAAGTCATCAGATGAATTGAAGGAAGAAAAGAAAAT